ATAATAATAATAATAATAATAATAGTAATGATGATGATGATGATGTTTATGATGATGACGATGATGATGATGATGATGATAAGTCATCCAAAATTTAGTCTTGGCTTGAATGTGATGACATTTAGATAACTTTTTTGTATAGAAGCAAGAGTAATCAGTAGCGAGAGTAATGAATAGAATATACAGTGAAACCCCGCTTAACGGACACCCATTTACAACGGACAGTTTTCTTTTTCCCAACAACTAAAAAGCTCATGTGTTTTCTCTTAAATTAGCCCGCTTAATACAGACACCCGGATAATGCGGACACTTAATCACGTCCCGTTGGTGTCCGTATTAACGGGATTCCACTGTAGTAAGAAGTGTCATCGGCAGATGTCAACTCCAGGACCATAACACATCCATAACATACACAAGAATAACAAAGGGCCTAAATAGATTGCTGAGAAACTCCACCAGTAATATCTAATGATGAGTTGTAACTATCATACGTACTACACTGTATGTCATGATGATAGTTATTTTAAATTTCTTGACAGATTTTGTCCCTGAATTATCTGTTGCTGTAGAGGACAAAAGAATGATCAAACAGGAGTGGTCTTTACTGGGTACAATGACAGAATTTTCTCAGGCATATGCCACAGCTATTGTTTTTTCTTTCTTGTGCCATTATAAATTTGGTATGAAACGTTCTTTCATACCAAGTTTGTTGTTGTGTCCTCAGGGGTTTGCTGTGTTTTTTTACGACTGCAAAGAAGACATAATGATTGCGAAAGCTTGTCAGTGGTCTGAATATTCCCTCGTTTTGTTGTGGAGTGTACTTCACTATCGTATTTTTTATCCACCCACGTGGCCCAGGGTGGGTAATGTAACTCTCCCATTTGGCTACTTAAACAGCGTACGTCCTGATTTTCGTTATTTAGATGAAAACAAATTTCATTTTGGGGAAAGCTTAGACTCGCCAGTTTTTAGGAAGACGCACCCTTTTGCTGGAAGACTTAGAGACGACGTGCGGAGGCCTGATAAGGGCGTATTCATAATCGTCGTGCATGAAAAAGAGGACAAACAGGATCATTAAAATTCTCACTTCCTAATTTTGGCCCATTTTGCTGGCTCGTATTTCTCAACACAATTTTTTAGCATCTTTATAGAATATGTTAGGAGTAGAATTGTCTTTTATTTAATAACAGTCACGTTAAATTACTTTACAGAATATTTTTAGGGGCAGAATTGTCCTTTAATTAATGACAGTCATACTATATAATTTATTCTTAACTGTGACCATTTTGATCGAAAAAATTATGGCAAGAGTGCGCACAGTACAGTTTTTTAATGCAACAGCGTCTTGGATTCAATCAGGAAAAGACAGCAACAATGCTAAGTTCACTACTGTGAAGTCATACCACCACTTAGGATAGAGTACTGGTACTTAAACATTTATTTTTCATTATTTACACAAATAGTCCTGCTGTTAAAATAACCAAAAATATCCAGAATTGTTCATTTTGTGATAAAAGCATGAAACTTCCCAAGATGACTAACCTCTATAAGGTAAACATTTTCTGATATGGAGCCATCCCAAACTTCCACCCAGAAGCACGCTACGCGCATGTCAAAAAATGACATATTAGGCCCATACATGGGAGCGAGGCAGAGTTAAAATGCTTATTTCTAAGCCTTTTCCGGAATACTTTGCCTAGATTTCTTGCATTTTAATGTAACAGCAACTTATAAAGTATCTGGGAGTCGAAAAATTTGTCACGTGATTAGTTACGTGACCATCGTTTCAATAAACAATCAAATAATACCGAATATTGCATCAATACGTTAATATTTTTTTTCTCCTCTTCTTTCTCGTTTTTCCTCGCAAATAAAATAAGTAATTANCAGCAACTTATAAAGTATCTGGGAGTCGAAAAATTTGTCACGTGATTAGTCACGTGACCATCATTTCAATAAACAATCAAATAATACCGAATATTGCATCAATACGTTAATATTTTTTTTCTCCTCTTCTTTCTCGTTTTTCCTCGCAAATAAACAGAAGTAATTATTTTGAACATTACAATATAGAGTAATAAGGTATTCAAACTTAGAAACCTGTGTTTCGGCATGTACAATGTCATATTGAGGCTTTGCATCAAATCGAGGCCGAGACAAAGGAATCTATGTTGGCTATTGAGGTGATTTGCTTAAGTCTAGCTTAATGAGATAAAACTAATTTCGGTGCGGAATTCAAGAGAAAACTCTTGATTGGTTTAAATCGTATTTGACTAAGCGAACACAATGGTGCTCCGTTAATGGCTGTCTCTCTGACTTCACCACTCTTAAATGTGGTGTGCGACAGGGAACGATCCTTGGTCCCCTTTTATTTCTAATTTATATTAACAATTTGCCTAACTGTCTATCATTTAGCATACCTAGAATGTATGCTGA